AAGTATTTCCAAATAAAAAATAATATAAAATATTAATTTCTTAATATTTATTAAGAAATAAATATAAAATGTGACCTCTTTTCGATTGTTCACTAAAATCTCAGTTAAAAATAAACTGAAAGTTCAATCGCACAAATCTTCTTATAAATTTTACAATATTATTTTATTGTGTTTATAGTGATTGTGTCTAACGAATTGTGAACATTTGTCAAAAATGCTAATTTCATACCATATATTTTTTAATAATAAATATTGTAATTATTGTTTTTTAGCTTATTTACTTTGTGTGTAAACAAACGAAATTTGCATTTGAGTTAAACAAATTTTACACCACATCGATGTGTTAGATAGTTCAACGCACATTAATTCAACGAGAATAACAACAATAAGCACACATTGTTGTTTATTGTTTGTATCTTATAACTTCAATTGTTGCCTTTATTTGCTGCTACTGCATTTGTCAATTCGAAATGTTAAAACGCGATGATATCAAAAATACATTGGCCTTGAATTTGAAAGTGCCGAAAATCATATTCTGTGAAATTTCATATCGGAATATATTTAGTATGCATAACATTTTACTAAAATACAAAATTTTCTAAATACAAATAAAAAATCACATCGAAAAAAACTCTGTAGGTTTAATTATTTCGAAATATCATTATTATTTAATATCGATTTATTAGGTCTTTATATGTGGAATGAATGGCCAACCTATTGTCATTACAGATAATCTAATTCTATTTCATTGAAACATATAAATTTGCACAAGTTAATAAGCCTATTTTTTTATCCCCAACATTTTTATTGCCTGGCGTAAATACTTTGGTCCCGTTTGAAGTTGTGATATAAAAATAAACCAAGGGTCGAAATAAATTGGTCACTTGGATTAACCAAACTTCAACTAATGACTTTTGTAAATGATGTGAAGGATTTCTTCTATGTAATAAATAATATTTATTGTTAACAGTGTTTCTCTTCTTCGTATCTCTTAAAAGTCTCTGCTATTTAAAATAAAGTGTTTTTTTTTCTATGATTGATTTTCATAAGGGAAATCAACAAAGGTCCAGCTTAGGGTGCAATAAAATGTGCACATTTTTATATTTCCATGATTTTTTCCTATAATATGCATATACGCTACACGAACTAAAGAACTATTATTGAAAAATAAGAATAGATAATGATATATAATAACAATAATGATGATAATGAATAGTCAAGAATTTAAGAAAACTGAAGGAAATCAATGAAATCAGTGAGTTACAAAATAATCTCCGCAAATAATAAAATAATAAGTACAGATATCTAATATCAATAATGATGATGATTAGATGTCAAAAGATTAAGAAAATTTAAAAAAAACACTAAAATCAGTGGGATCCAAGATAAATCACACAAAAAATAGTAGAACGAGTACTAAAACAATATGAATGCAATAAAATACAATACACTTAGTCACAGTCACGTTTGAATTTTCTTTTTTTTTACTTAGTTACAATAGATGATTTGATAGATGATATCAATATTGTTCCAACGTGTTTGCCAATGTTCAACTCTACTTGGTAGTGGTATATAAATGATTTCAAAATGTAAATCCAAGCATTCTTGAGTACAAAATCTTTTTTAACAATAAGTTTCTAAATAATTTGTCCTCAGTATATAGCATAGTATTTATTACATATATAGTTTGTATATAGTATGTTTGCCGCTGTTTGAACTATTTTGTTAATAACATTTGTCAATTTCAAAGTGATTAAAGTATCTTTGAACTTTTCCAATGTATACTGTAATACAGATATCAATCAATGAAAGAAAGATTATATACTTTCAAAAACCAAAAATTATCTATAAAAGACGCACATACTGCCACAAATTCAGGATTACATCTATTTTAAATAAAAACTCCTAATACGTAGGTTAGGCATACGTGTTAACCTGTTACAGATTTCACATAAGCATATTATGAGTCTACCATGTTTTCCTAGGGCTCATGTTCTTAGAAGTCACCGCTCATTGCGATTTAGTAATTTAAGTAGAAACAATTTTTTTGATGGTGCAGTGCATTCATTAAGAAAAGTCACTAGCAACCACTAATAGCATCCTAAAAAAAAGGCTAGCCGTAGTATTACTATGTATTTTGTTGTTCCTTCATTTTCCTACTCTACTGAAATTTTACTTTACATTCTTAACTCAAGAGTAATCTGCATAATTTAAACAAGTCTCCTTTCCAAGAACTGTGACCCATCTTCTTGCTAATACAGTACATATTCCCACGAATTGAGAGCTCAATAAATCTACCTCTCCATTTTGGCATATATCGCAAAAACTATCGATTAGAACTCCTAGTCTCTGTGTATGCCTGCCTATTAGGCAATGTTCGTTAACAAAATATGTTATATTACCGATATAATTAATAAATTAGTTTTGTAGTTCTAAATGAGGTAATAGACGTCTAGTTTATTATCTCATTTTCGTATTATGTGAATATTTTGAATAATGTATATAATATTGTAAATAAATATTTAAGCTGATTTTGTTAATAACCTTTAAAATTTAATCAGTCTCCAAACGCGTCTGTTTTGTATAATATAATTTTAATAAATTAAATATTTACTTGCATACTTTTTACAATTAAGGCTAAAATAAATTATTCTGCCAGTGCTGTAGATCATATTCATTTGAATAAATTTATGTTCCCCGATATAATGTAAAGGAAAATAATAAGTTCAAACAATATTCATTTATTCATTTAATTATTGGTTCAACTCATTTATTAATTACAATAATTATTTAAATTGTGTCTTTTAATGACTTATATGTAAATTGTTTGTGTCACTTTTGAAAGTAGAAGTAACACAATGTTTTCTGAACTTTGTCATTAACCCTTAGCACAGTTAATAAATTAAATCATGAACTTTGCATATAAAATTATAATTTGTTTATTTAATACCTGAATTAAATTGCACAACTTCATAATTTAAATGCGAATAAAATTCACTTGACCCTGTACCTTCGAGAAATCATCTTTCCGCATCTACATCCAATCCAAGGAAATTAAAATTTTTTTGCGCTCACAACTGGTTTGAGAAAAAAAAATACATTTAAATTAGTTTTTTTACTGTTTACTAATATTTATATTACGATTAATAAACACAAAAAAAATCGATTTAATATATGACGACACACGTTCTTTTTAGTCAATGTTCAATATTTATATACTCGAATGTACATACAATATAAACAAATTAAGTGATTATACAATTTCTAGAAGTAACTTTGCACTACGAACCCTTGACGATAATTACAGCCGCTAATGTATACTTAAATTTTAAAAAATATATATACATATATATAAATAAACAACTTTATACATTATTACGTGTTTACCTCAAAAAACAATTCTTTAGATATTCTATCATTTTTAAGCTTAAATAAAAAATATTTAATTAACATTATTTTAAACAATTATAAACATTTTGACTCAATTTTGACTAATTTTGCTACCAAAGTAAAAATAATTCTGTTTAATACATTTTATATTGTTTATTTATATTTTAATCATATCTTTTTTATATATACTTTTTATATTATTTACAAAAAAAAGTCTTAAAAAAGTATGTATAAACAATCATCATCTACAAAAATTGTTTAAAATGATAAGAATGACATTGTACATTTAAAAGATTAACGACAAAATAAATTATGAAAAAAAATATTATTAAAATTAATTGTACACTACATGTCATTAGATTAGATGCAAAGCAAATATAAATTAGCTTAAAAATAAAAATAAAATAAAACATACGATTATAATCTAATATTTCTATTTATTTATTTCCATTTGACTCGAGGTAGTTTTAAAACCACTCTTTACGCCTTGACTGGATTATTGTTTATCACTTCATCAGACTAAGCAATAATTGACCTCAGATCTGCATACTTCCCCGAGGAGCCTGTAACCATTCTGAGATTTCATAATGCGGTGTTGGTAAGTCTGCCAGTTTTCGAATTTCAGGGCTCTATCCTTTATGTATTTTTTGATGGGATCAATCTTGAGGTCCCTGAAGATGTCATTCGTTCTAATTTACTATGGTACTATGTCTATTAAATTAAATTTTCATTTAAGAACTTTATACCCTATGCCAAGAAATCTAATTCAAATCGAAAAGGAGTGGTAATAGTGAGGAAATCTTCCGTTCAGAAAGAAAATTTTTTAATCAAATAAAATCTTGGGCTGAACATGCATCTATTATATACTTATACACTAATACACAAGTGTATATATACACAAGTTTTGGCTTGATAAGTGTTATCAGAATTCTGCTCCAGCAAAATTAACCGTTGAACGTTGGTTTTCAGACTTTAAACATGCCCGTTACATCGGAAAACGTTAAGATACTTTACAAAATTGTTTTAGACAACTGTAAAGTGAAGTTGGAGAAATGTTTATTTGATAAGTTTAGCAATACATAACTATAATCAAACTACTCTTTTTCTACCTTGTTCTTCCAAACATGTCAGATTCAATCTCATCGAATCATAGCATCCAAACCTTGTATAATTTTTACTTTTTCAGTTGTTGATACGTATTCTCCTTAATGTGTAACTAAAGTCCATGATTATTTTTTCTTCCCTGTTGTTACCAACAATGTCAAATCTAAACCCGTTGTATCCTAATTTAAAGCCGTACCTAATTTTTACCATTTTTAGTTCCAGCCCATCGAATAATGGCATCTCAACCTTGTATAATTTTTATTTTTTTAAGTTGTTGATACGTATTCTCCATAATGGGTATATAAAGTTCATCTATCCCTTTCTCTTCCTCGTTATTATCAACCATGTCAAATCTAAGTCCTTCGCATCCCAGCCTTACCTAATTTTTACCATTTTTAGTTGTTGACGCGTATTCTCCGTAATACGTAACTAAAGTCCCTCTATTCTTTTTTCTGCCTTGTCGTTACCAGCCATGCAAAACCTAAGCCCGTCGCATTATAGATTGCCAGCCTTACATGATTTTTACTTTTTATCTTGTTGACTCGTCTTCTCTATAAGTCATTGTTCACTTCGTCTATCTACCTTCTGCCTGCTCGATCCCTGCTCCCTTGTTGCTTGTAAACATTTTAATTTATAATCTGTCTTCCGACGATAACTTACATATATAATAAACTTACTATACAAAACAAAATATTGACTTGATAATAACGTTGTTTCGATTTCGTGCAATAATCGAAATAATTTGCCCTGAGCGCATTCTTATAATTTAAACAAAAAATTATTCAAAAACCAAAATAAATTATGCAAAACAATTTAGTTAACCTATAGAAAAATCACATATACAATATACAGATATTTTTTT